ACAGAAACTTTTTTTTATCCTAATGCACAGAATGCATTAAAAAGGTAAAAACCTTCTGCCTTGAAATCACTTTAGGCATCAATATTTTCTTTATTTCACAAAATGATATCAAATGTGTGTTGTTGACACAGTAACAAGTTTCCTTTAATCCCCTTGACCCTACAAGCATTTACTCCCCTTTTGTTTGTCCGCTGTTCCATTAGGTCACCAGGAACACAAAATACAGGTGCTTCCAGATATTGGGGAGCATGTGGCACACTTCATGTGATACCACTGTTGCTTGATGACTGCTCCAGCATTGTAACAGCACTGTGATGTGTCCTTAAAATTGATTGTAAACCCCCAGCTTGTAAAATACCTCAGTTTAAAATAGAAATGAAAAAAGGCAAAACATTTTTTTTTTTTTTTTTTTTTTTTACACAAAACACCCACACATTATAAAAATACCTTGTTTTCCCCTTTGATCACAGGCCATGCCCTCTGTTATCAGCTGTATAATAGCTAGGGGAGGATAAACAGCAGTACAATGATCTTTCCAGGGGGGGGGGGGGGGGGGGGTCTGTCAGGACATGACTGATAATTGGAGGAGAGCACACAGAGTTCCCAGTATGGCTAGAGAACTGACCACACTGCTTTGTCTAGTGTAGTCAGTTTTTAATAGGAAAGCAAAGAGACTGCCAGGAACACCAGGGACTTCACACAAAGGAAGCGATACAAAGAACAGGATACTTTTTTTTTTATACAAGTACATGGTACAGCAGGCACATATCAGGAACTGTATATTGTATAGGGCACACTTGTTGGAGCCCAACCTCTGTAGCTGTAAGATAAAGGTGCCAGATGGATATCAGGGATAGATGGATGGGAGCAGTAACACTGAGGCAGCTCTTCTTAGAGTGGAAGCAAGGCTCTAATGCAGTAACAAGAAAAAGAGAGGAAGGCGCCTCTAAGTGCAGTATTGACAATTTATTCAGTAAACAATGGAAAATTTGCAAAATTTGCACTTACAAGATAAACGGTTAAAAAGGCTCATCGTGTGGTAATTAGATCCAGGTGGGACATCCAGCAGCAAACTATGCCTATAGGATCAGGAAGTAGAGACCAGGATGTGCCTGAGCATCAAAAATTAAGCTTGGAGAGCAGAGTCAGATGTAGCAGGTGAAGGGGGCGGTAATGCATTTCGGAGCATGCTCAATAGGCTCCTTCAGAACACACAGAGTTCCCAGTATGGCTAGAGAACAGACCACACTGTGCTTTGTCTAGTGTAGTCAGTTTTTAATAGGAAAGCAAAGAGACTGCCAGGAACACCAGGGACTTCACACAAAGGAAGCAATACAAAGAACAGGATACTTTTTTTTTTTTATATAAAAAGTACATGGTACAGCAGGCACTTATCAGGAAATGAAATGTTGGATTGAAATACTCTTTAACCGTGTGTAAGTTCTGACTGGAGCAACGCAAAAGCTTAAAAGGGCTTCTTGTCGTTCCTATCAGCTCAATGAAATGGGTAAGCGAAAGGTGATAATGTGCAGCTGGAGGGTACTAAAGTAAACCTGCTCTTTTGCACTTCATGGGAAAAATACAGCTTACAGGTTCACTTTAAGATGAACATGTTAAAGTGGTAGTAAACTGAATAAATAAAAAATCAGCTGACAAGCAGTGCTGTTATAATGGAAGAGACCCTAGGGGTCTCTTCTGTCATAAATCTCCCCCCTGCCTGTCAGCAGGAATGTGATCTGAGCTGCACATGCGCAGCTCAGACCACATTTATGGCCCGCTCTCTGTGCCGCAGCGATGTGCCGCACTGCTACCAGTGGCCAGTCGAGCAGCCAAAGATTCTGAACCTGGAGGAAACACCAGGCGAGGATGGAAGCATGACAACACTGCGCTGGAGGGGCTCCGTTTGCAGGAAAGTCTATCATATTGTGCTAGTATTTTATTTTTGTTGGTTTATTGCAATGACTTTACTACTGCTTAAAATAAACAAATTGTTTAATAATGGTCAAAAGTAACTTTCATTAAGCTAGGCCTTTAAAGAGACTACATAACAGCAATGCTGAATGGGTTTCATAGGATATATTCTTAATTGCAAACTAGAATATGACTCACCTGCTTGGAAACTGATGGGCTAACTCTCATTCACATGGCCAGTATGGCGAGTCTTTACAGACAACAGTGCATAGCACAGCTTTCTATATTTACCTCTATGGTGATACACAGATAGTATAGATCACGGGTGTCAATCTGGCGGCCCTCCAGCGGACCCCTGGTATAGATCAATGCTTCATTATATTCCATACAGCACAGGAATACACCTCTATGCAGTGCCTGTGATGCACTGTACAAGAACCAATATTTTAACTGAATTTTAGCTTCTGCTCCACTAAAGCTGTGCAGAATGTATTGTCCAGATTCCTCTCTACCCATTTATAACAAAGTGAGCGATAAAAAAACTAAGCTGGTTATTTTATTATAGACGACACAAAAAAAAAGATACTTTGCATTATGGGACCCAATATAACTAGCACGTCAAAGCTACAAAAGCATACTGTAACTGTGTATCGCTCCTAGCTGCGACCTATATTGCATGTTATACTAACACCATTCTCTTGGTTTCTACTGATGAAAGAAAAAAAAAAAAAAAAAAAAAAACACCACCACTTAGGGCAAGGAACACTTCTATATAAAATAGATAGAAAATAAAAATTTTTAAAATGGCCTTTAGGATGGCGTGCACATATTACTTACTATGCAGTATAAAAATAGAAACATTTATTAAGAGTCAAGCAATGGTAAAATGTTTTGATTAGTCATCTTCATAACTGAACTAGCAGTAATATTCACAGCACTGATTGTATCAAATTATTCACAAAATAATTCTGTGCTTAATGAAAAAAAAATGTCATATTGAAAGAAAAAAAGGTGACTAATCCCATTTTGTAAATAAATTCAAAAAACAAAAATTATTTATTGCCAACTTTTTTTTTTTTTTTCTTTTTTTACATATGCCAAGGTATGGGTCATTGCCAAGAGCTGATGCGATATCTGCAATGCACAAGCCCATCGTCAAACAGCACAACTGCTGAGCAATGGGCAAGTGTTATAGCTCTGCTGCAATATTTCAAGGTCAAGCATTACGCAACCATTCATGTTAACAAGAACTGAGAAACAGGAGGCCAACCCAAACAGCACAGTGAGAGGCTATTGTGAAGTCATGCATTCCTGCAAAGTAAATATAACAGAAGTGTCTGACAAGTGACATGGCCTTCATCACGATTTTCCACTGGTATAATCAGTTCATTTATCCTAAAAGAAGGGCAATATACCTATAGTTTTGCAGAATGGGCCATCCTACACTCCATCACTCAGCAATAGGCAGTCTAATCTGACAGATATGGACCATCTTGGCAGGTGCTGACCAATTAGTCAAAGGCCAACAGTAGCAATCATTCAAGATCCACATACATTCACTGAAGCAGTGCCTGAACAATTGCATCGTTCATTCTGACGATCAAGCAGTTCTCTCTGCTTTGAAAATCACCAGAGACCCACACATAAGCTGATTAAATGCTGGGAGAATATATGATGGCCTCTCTCAGCAGTTGTATGAGAATCTCAAAGAGAAAAAATTTCTCACCTTGCAAAAAAGCAATGATTATGTACAAAAATGTACACATAGCAACCAATCATTTTATCTTTCAACAGAAAGATAAAAAAAATAAAATAAAAATGAAAGCTTCTGGATACTATGGGTTACTGTATATTGATTGCTCTATGCATTATGGAATATATGGTGATTGAGATTTCAATTCCCTAGCTCACCCCCCTTCCCCATGATAAAAGGTGTCATTTATATACCGAACCGCAGATACGGACATATAGATGTTTTAGCTACCCAGCAGTGAGCAGTGTTTCCACCTTATGGCAACCTATATTCCATGTAGCTCATATTTTAGACAGGGTGTGTATACCAGATTCATTAATAGAAAATATTAGCCATTTTGCATACATTTGTACAGAGCTAGGTATGGGGCCCAGTCATCTAAAGCTGATGCAATGTGCACTGGATGAGTGCAGTCTACAGGGGAATGGGCACCCCAAGATGGAAAACCTGCCAGGAGTTGGGTAAGGGACTTAAAACCTCTATATTTCTGTATCTGAGGTCTGGTATGCAATTTAAAATGTTATCAGGATGCTGGGGAGGAAGGAGAGGACAAGGGGATTTAAACTGATTTAATAACCTATCCTTTAATTAAGGTGAACACCCTCATCCTTGCTGCACTTACCTCCTTTGATCATTTGCTGTCACCACCCACACAGCCGATGCAGTGGTCAGGGGATCTGAAAGTCCCACTCTTCTTTCCAGTCTTTCGGGACAGATCAGAGAGATTCTGATTGCTCATGCTGGCACATGACCACTTTGACCAATCATAATCGCTGTAATCCATCCTGAAAGCCCCAAGAAAAGATGGTGAAGAACAGCGAATTCTAAAATCCCCCAACCGCTGCGGATGCATGGGCAGTGACAGATAATCACCCACAGAGATAGGTGGGGCCTGTGAAAAGGTGAACTTACATTTTAAGCCAAGGCTGGACAAATCCCTGTCGCCAAGTAGCCAATGCCGCCTAAAAACATAATAGAGCTGGCGTCTAACTTTACATTTTCAAAGTAGCTGGCTCCTTAAAACTATCCTGCTGGCTCCTGGAATGGACAGACTGGATACTGAATTCCTGTCCACCCCTGCTTTAAGCCGGTGTGTGACTTAGGCCTATACATGCTGTAATAATCCCAATATGGTTATTTTAATAAAGCAAAAATTTGCACAATACACTCCTAACCAATGCTAATAAAGGCACATATCTTGTGCTAGCTGCATACACAACATTGGTTGATACTGTAGGCATAAGGGGTGAAAGGTTATGAAGAAATCCCACCACATTTCCGCTATGCTTTTTATCATTTGATTTTGCACAGGTCGAGAATCACACAAGCACAATATTTATATAAATATACTCACAGCAAATGGGAATATGTTGTCGGCTCTGTTCAAACTTTCTTCCATCCAAGATTTTTGTGCAAAGGCAGAATTGGGCCTGGCATACTTCTGCAACTGGATGTGATTATTCCCGAAATTCTTCTTCAGAGGCGAGATGGAATTCAAAGGTGTTATTCCTCCATTGAGTCCTCTACGGTGGTCCCTACCTTGGGACCCACCCCAACCTCCATATCCACTACCACCTGGGCTCCATGAAGAAGAGGGTGTAGGTGATGGGCTTTGGTAGCTGCTCCATGGAGAGGGAGGCTTATTGAGATTATTGGCCAAATGGGGCAGTTGGTTAAAAGCAGCATTTCTGTGGGGGAATGGGGGTGGATGCGGACTCGCGGGAGACCTCCTTTGCTGTTGATGTTGGTTATGGTGATGCTGAAAATGGGGATGATGGGGGTGATGTTGGGACATGGGTCCAATCTGTGGAGAAAAGCTACCCCCAAAACCAGGGCTCACATGGTGGGGGAAATTTTGGAACAGCAAAGCACCATTATTTGCTGAAGCAGCAGTGACCCCTCCCTGGTGAAAGAAACTTGCATCTTCATTAATAATAGTGTTAGAAGATGGGGCAATAGCAGCTGACCAGTTGCTGAAACCAGTGAGAGGGGATGCAGAGGATGTCAGGGTCTGATTGGAAGACCCAAGCCCTGATGCTTCTTGGTAATCAAACCCTGTCAATACAGGAGATTCAATTCGGATTTTCTCCTTGCCGTTTTCGGATGAGCTGTCACCTTGATTTTCCTCCGATTTCCCCTTTTCGGGGTCAGGTAGAATTCCTCCTTCCTGGCTTTGGCTGGGGGAAAGCTGCTGTTTTTCTAAAGACTCTTGCTGTTCCTGTTGTTGAGATTTGTTTTTTTCCGACCCCAGAATCTCATCCTGAATGTTATGGGCGGCCGGAGCTGGAAAAAGCCAAGCTGACCCAGCATTACTGCCGTTGGCAACTGTGTTATTTATAAAAGCAGCGGGGCTCGGGGTAGCGTTCTGATGGTGGTGAGGGGGCTGCAGATGTGGATGAAACCTGACCGGAAAAGCCGATTTATTCCCAGTGTTGTTTTGCACCAGCACTCCAAACCCGTAATCCCCCATTTATAACGAATTTTCAACGCAAAAAGATTTGGGGGATTTCTCTTTTTTTTTTTCCTGGAGGCCAAATTGTGCTTAATCGGTCGAACCCTCTCCGGATTCAAACACCTCCTGCAAAACTGAATGGTGACAAAAAAAAAAAAAAAAAAGACAAATCTGCCTGTTCTAACAATCCTTTTTGGACATTTAACGTGGCTCCTTCAGAAAGGTAAGGGTGGGTGGACTAGACCAAAATATCTTTGGTTTCTAGCAACTGGGTTGTGCCTTACCACCCCCCTGGCTTCAATCCATGAAGTACAGCTCACAGATCAATGGGGATTTTTCTGTCATGGAGAAGGAGGATCTTTATTTATTTATTTGTTTCCCTTGCACACCGCTACAAGGTAACAAGGCAGGATAGAAGGGAGCTCGGTGAGATCTGCTGTTGGTTGTTGTGGCTGGCTGTACGTCGTCTTCTTCTCGACACCCTGGCTCGCCTATCATCCAAGGGAGAAGGAAGAGGAAAAAAAAAAAAAAAGAAAAAAAAAAAATATAAGATGACGTCTCTTTTTTCTCTGTATGTGAAATCAAGCCCTTAATATTACACATACACACACAACACAATGATATACAACATGGTGGCCAGCAGAAGAGCAGATGAGAGAGAAAACAGGGCAGTAATTACCTCATGAAGCCAGCCTTGCAGTGACAGCAGCTGTTTGTGTGCTGTGTAGGTGCTGCCTCAGTGGATTAGAAGAACGTCAGTGTCCCTGGCGCAGTAGCAGCTCCCCCTCAGAGTGTCATTACAGCCTATGGCTGGCCCCAGTGACAGCCCAGTGTGTGTCAGGGATGAGCTGTGAGGACTGGCCGTGTGTCAGGGTGCTGAGGACAGAATTCGCTGTGTCGGTGACAGGGTGGAGGGACGGGGGAGGGGGGGGGAGAGGAAGATAGGGGGGTCTCTGTGTCGGTCTCCGGGAGCGGGGGAGGGGGAGAGGGGCGATCCCTCTGTGTCTATCTCTCTTGGGTCTGTGTCCGTCTCCGCTGCTCCTCCCCGTCCTTCTAGTCAGGACCGAGCACACAGAGAAATGACAACCAGCTGGAGCGAGAGGCGCTTCCGGTTCCAGGCACTGCACAACCCCTTCGGTAGAGCGCAGCCAATCACGGAGCAAAGTGGGTGGCAAGCGTCGAGAAACCACGCCTGAGAAGGTCAAAGGAAGAAGGAGGAAGCTGAGATGAGCGGGGAACGCCTTTGAAGGGAGAAAGTGAGCGGATTGGCTCCTCCTATGAAGGTCAACAGCTCTAGCTCCGCCCGCTCAGGTCACTGCTGAGAGGGATGCTCACGCTGCGCTTCTAATGAGGTCAGCCAGAGGCTTGGGTGGTGTCTGGTGGTGACAGGCGGGTGGTATGTGGACACATTGCACATGTAGCATCACAGCTCAGCGGCTTCCTTGTTCTGAATGGGGCTGTTAGCAGGAATGTTTCTGGCTAATAAAGTTACACATCTCATAACACGTGATGCTTCCAAATATATGTCATCGGTGGTGTGTTTTTATAGTATAGTCTCAATCACTAGGATCTCACTTCTCCACTCTGTTAAAGAAGAAAAAAAAAAATCATTTTCAGTCTTTTAGCTTTTGAAGTGTAAGGGCTCATTTACACTTGCTTCAAAATGGACACGCTTTTTTTTTTTTTTTTTTTTTTTTAAGTGGTAGTAAACCACATCCAAAAAGAAAAAATCCTGTGCAAGGTCAAGGCATAAAATGCTAGTATGTATCACATACTAGCACATTATGAAGGACATACCTTAAAATAAAGCCCTCCAGCCGCGTGCTATCACCGCTTATCTTCACCCAGTCTTCCAGGATCACAAGCTCCAACCGTCTGGCCAAGCCGCGATGACATCACTTCTGTGCTCTTCCTTCAGAGCGCATGAAAGAGGGCTAATATGTTCTAAATCAGTGGTTCTTAACCACTTCGATCGAACCCCAGGGGTTCGGTGAGTCAGTCTCGCGGGTTCGGCGGAGGTGAAGACCCACACCCGACTCATATGATTTGTGCAGTAAATATTCATTATTATGTTTATTGTTTGTGTGAAAATAATGTTTTAATGGTTTTGTTCATTTTGTGCACCTATGTATAAATATATACCTATGTTTTGAATTTGAAAAATCATATTTTATTTTTCCAATTAAGAAGGGTTCGGTGAATGCGCATATGAAACTGGTGGGGGTCAGTACCTCCAACAAGGTTAAGAACCACTGTTCTAAATGGTACGCGTTTAGGAGATATTCATTTCACCTACAGGTGAGCTTATAAAAGAGTATTAAAAGAAGACTTTACTACTACTTTAAAGTACTCTGAATGCCAGTCAAGGTGCCTGTTCTTAAAGCAGCAGAACTTCACTCTCAGTCAACATGGGCTATTTTTAATCTTTATGCCGATACCATTAGTAAATTATATCATATTTACTTGTTTTAACCTTTTTTTTTTTTTTTTTTTTTTTACATTTTGTTCAGTTACTTTCTGGTTTCCATACCTAAGCAAAGATGTCATACATCCAAGGAGTCTTGAAGAGGAAGGGTTCCCAGCTCAGCCTATGCCTAAGCTAAGGGCAAATGGATTCCAGGAAGTATACACGAATCATCTGCAATTTGAGGATTGCAGTAATCAATAATACAAGCATCAGTCCCTCCCCTCATGCTAGGGTACTAGGTGTAATCCTGGACTCCCATCTGTCCTATCAAAATCTTGTAGGCTTCACCTCTGCAACATCTCAAAGATACGCCCGTTTTTAACCACTGAAACCAGTAAGCAACTTATTCACTCCCTTGTTATCTCTCGCATTCACTATTGTAACTCCCTCCTCATTGGCCTACCCAATCGCAGGCTATCCCCTTTTCAGTCTATCATGAATGCTGCTGGCAGACTCATCCACCTTACCAACTGTTTGATATCTGCCATCTCTATTTCTGCCAATCCCTCCACTAGCGTCCCACTGCCCAATGAATAAAATTCAAAATATTAACAATAACATATAAAGCCATTTATAACTTTACCATTAATTACATCACCAATCTGGCATTTTTTTGCTGGCTGATAGCGAAAAAGAGTGGGAAATTTGAGTGGAAAGTGAAAAAGTTTTACTTTTGATTGCTGGTGCTTGTGGTTGTTTTATTTTCTTTGGGTCTTGCTAAAAGCTTTCACTTTTATAAATATTTTTCTTCTTTTTTTTTCAAAAATATTTTTTCAAACCAAGCCATGAAGTCCAAGGAATTGTCCGTAGATCTCCGAGACAGGATTGTATCAAAGCACAGATCTGAGGAAGGGTACAGAAAAAGGTCTGCAGCATTGAAGGTCCCAATGAGCACAGTAGCCTCCATCATCCATAAATGAAAGAGGTTTGGAACCACCAGGAATCTTTCTAGAGCGGGCCTCCAGGCCAAAATGAGCGATCGAGGGAGAAGGGCCTTAGCCAGGGAGGTAACCAAGCACCCAGTGGTCACTCTGAAAGACCTTCAGCGTTTCTCTGTGGAGAGAGAGAACCTTCCAGAAGAACAACCATCTCTGCAGCACTCCAGCAATCAGGCCTGTATGGTAGAGTGGCCAGACAGAAGCCGTTCCTCAGTAAAAGGCAAAAATGGCAGCCTACCTGGAGTTTACCAAAAGGCACCTGTGGGACTTTCAGACCATGAGAAACAAAACACTCTGGTCTGATGAAACAAAGATTGAACTCTTTGGCCTGAATGCCAAGTGTCATGTCTGGAGGAAACCAGGCACCGCTCACCACCTGGCCAATACCATCCCTACAGTGAAGCATGGTGGTGGCAGCATCATGCTGTGGGGATGTTTTTCAATGACAGGAAATGGGAGACTAGTCAGGATTGAAAGGAAAGATGAATGCGGTAAGGTACAGAGACATTCTTGATGAAGACCTGTTCCAGAATGCTCTGGACCTTAGACTGGGGTGACGGTTCATCTTTTAACAGGACAATGACCCTAAGCACACAGCCCATATAACAAAGGAGTGACTACGGGCCAACTCTGTTAATGTCCTGGAGTGGCCCAGCCAGAGCCCAGACTTGACCATCTCTATAATGATCTGAAAATGGCTGTGCAACGACACTCCCCATCCAACCTGATGAAGCTTGAGAGGTACTGCAAAGAAGAATGGTAGAAATTGCCCAAAAATAGGTGTGCCAAGCTTGTAGCATCATACTCAAAATTACTTGAGGCTGTAATTGGTGCTAAAGGTGCTTCAACAAAGTATTAAGCAAAGGCTGTGAATACTTATGTACGTGTTTTTGTTTTGGTTTTTTTTTTTTAAATTGCAAAGATTTTAAAATGAACTTCTTTCACGTTGTCATTATGGGGTATTGTTTGTAGAATGAGGAAAAAAAATGAATTTAATCCATTTTGGAATAAGGCTGTAACATAAATGATGGTTTGCACCTAAATGGAAGGGGGTCTGCTGTGCTGGGGGAGAGGTTTATGGTAAGGCTGGAGGAGCATTTAAACTAGGATCGAGGGGGAGGGAGAATTAAATTATAATGGTGTAGACAGATCAGACAGGGGTCAGTACTTATTGGTGGGTGGAATGTTGAAAGATGGGAGAGCTATGGCAGATGATAAAAAGGTTGTTACAAACAACAGTGGAATTGGTACCATTTGTATGAAAATAAAAAATATGCAAAATATGTGTGCACAAGGTATCAATGCATTAAAGTGTTCAGCAATGCCAGAAATCTGCCAAGCAAAATAAGCGAGTTGGAATCTTTGGTGCATAAACTATGATTTAATTGGTATTGCTGAATCTTGGCTTCATTCTTCACATGACTGGGCCATTAATATTCCTGGCTATGTTCTCTTTCAGACAGACAGGGTAAATAGGAAAGGTTGTGGTGTGTCTCTGTGAGAAGTGACCTTAGAGTGAGTGTGGAAGAAGATCTAGTTGATGGAGAGAGTGATGAGGCTGAAGCATTATGGGTAGAATTGCACATGGGGGTGTGCACTACAAAGGTAATCAT